TGCTTTGGATGCAGCCCAGGACGTGCTTGGCTTTCTGGGCTGTGAGTGCACAGGTCGTGTTGAGCTTCTTGTCAACCAACATCCCCCAGTCCTTCTCCTCAGGGCTGCTCTCAATCTTATCTTCATGTGCCTTCATGTCAAGGCTGCAACAAAGCAAAATGGGTYTTGTAATAGCAGTATCTGGATAAATATTTGACTCCTGGCTCTTGGCAGTTTCAAGACCTTTTTCTTAGGTCTTTTCTTAAAGTCTAAAGAAGTCTATGATTCTAAGATTCATAGAATTGTCATAATTTAAGTATATAATTGTTTTTAACTTAAATGTATGAAAAAAATACATGAAAAAAACCCAACATGGAGAGAGACAAAATCATTTGCTTCCTAATTTTCAGCCGTCATGATYCTGTGAAATTACTTTCCTGTCCAATTGTACCTTTTATTTGTTCTCYGTACCTAAATGAAGCTCAATCTTGCTTTATCTTCTCACAGAACTCTCACTTATTATGTCCGTGTATGAAAAGCAGAAGGAGACGTTGGAAGTATTTTTTCTCTCTAAATAACAGGATTTGGAGCCATCATGCATGGATTGTACAGGGAAAGGAGAACATTTCTAACATGTGAAGACATGTAACARAACAGAATTTGCAGACCTTTTGTCAATCTTGAGAATCTCAGTGTTCCTATAAGGGCTTTATTTGTAGGGACACCTGAGGAGAACATGTTAAATTTATAGACAGCAAAAGAGACACATGCACACACACATTCACAAAGTGTATCTCTGTGCAATACCACACTTAGAACAATACATTTTTTTCATGCCAAGTGCTGCGTGCCACAGATCACCGTCTCAGCACAGTAATACACACAAACTCCAACAAAACATACTTGGTTCCTAGACATGGTTTTCCAAAACAGGTGTTTTTGTTTTTTGTTTTTTGTTTTGTCACTGCCTCTCTGGGGAGTTTTGAGTCTTGAAGCTCTGTTGTGTCTCAGACCATGGGCATTTTTTTTTTTTTTTTTTGTCACTGCCTCTCTGGGGAGTTTTGAGTCTTGAAGCTCTGTTGTGTCTCAGACCATGGGCATGCTTTTCTCCACTGAGGGCTAAATGAGCATCTCTTATATTCCCACACTGTGGGAGAACCTTTGGCAGTTTTTCATCATCACTTTGAATTCTGCCCCAGCATYTTACAAGCTCATTCATTCAYTSGTGCCATCCTTACTTYTATATAAGTTCTTCTTGCTYAGGCATCTATTCAAATAACAAATAYTTGGAAGARAAGTGGGTCTCTGATGCTTCTTAAGAAGAGAACCAATGTGGAATCTCTCCTTCTTGCCATTGATTTGCCAGTGATTACTTTTTTGGAATTTATTTTCAGCCATCTCTTTATCTACTTTTTTATGAACCAAATTTGCCATCTATGACAGCAGCCTATAATCTAACTGATAAGATAGGACACACGTGGACTTCACGTTTGGTAACAGATTAGCTGGACCATTGGCTCAAAGTGTACTACAACTGCAGGAAGTCCAGTTGTCAGCCACATGGATTTCCTTCAGGGTTAATACTGGGGAAAATAGTATCTTTACTATTGAGTTGTACGATCAATGCATTTGTGCATAATRGACAGCAAATGCTGTGTATGCAGCAGGATGAAGAGGAGTCAATGCTCCAGTAAATCTCTGGGGGACAGGGCTGATGTGTCAGTGGATGCTGGCAGCCTGAAGGAATGGGCTGGCAGAAGATTAATATTGTTCAAAAACAGATTCAAATTTTGGATCCCCAGTGGAAAGCCCTTATGTAATGGAACAGTCTGAGGGCTGATTGGGCAGGAAGCAGCTTTGCCCATGGGGGCAAGAAATTTCAGTAATCTTGGTGGTAAAGGAACCCAACCTTATCATCCTCTCCAAAGCCCTGAAAGGAAGCTGTAGAGAGGTGGGGRTTGGTCTCTTCTCACAAGCAACAAATGATAGGATGAGAGGAAATGGCCTCAAGTTGTGCCAGGGGAGGTTTAGATTGGATGTATTTAAAGACTTGTATCATGTTTAGTGATGGACTTGGCAGTGTTTGGTTTACTGTCAGACTTGATCTCAGAAGTCTTTTCCAACCTAAACAATTCCATGGTTCTCCTTCTCTCCCTTAAACAGACTGTCTCTTTCATCATGAGAAACATGGAGTCAGATGGAGTCAGGAATTGGAAGCCCAGAACAGGTAATATGGAAACCCAGTTTTGTCCTGCATGCCTGCCCAGGGACAAGGCACCTAAAAGGCAGGTCTTGTGTAATTTTCCCATGGGAACTGAATCCTCACCAGGATCTGGCCCTTATTCCTATACAGGGATTACATAAAATACTAGATAAATACATTCTGGATTCTTGTGCAAGCAGAGAAATAAGCCAATCATCTGTGGGCCATAAAAATCAGCAGGAGTCAACTTTTGAATTTAACTGAAGATCGTTGTAACATCATGGACTTAAATGAGACCCACATTCCCCAGCTTCAAATCAACTTCTCTTGAACAGATAAGCCTGCTACAGAATGTTATAGCTGGTGTAGAAAAACAAGCACACCTCCATGAGGTATTTGATATAAAGCATCCATCATTGTGCCTTTGATCAATGAAATAGAATGTCTTTCCCACTGCAGAGAAGCTGAGGTCTGGATGTTTGTCTCCCCCAGGAGACAAAAGATGGACACTTTTCAGGCTGCATGATGTCCTAACTACTCATGCCTGATGAGAACTCAGGGATTACACAGGACAGAAGCTCAAGGCAGAAGGAAGACTTTAAACTTTGAGAGTTACTTTGGGGATATTGTCTTGATCTTAGGTGATGTGGCATCTAGCATGTTACCTGTGATAATTCTAAGGCCCAAGCAGCCCAAAACTCAGCATGAATGCAGAAAATATGTTTCAAATGCACTTATTTCCATATTGTCTTTTTTTTTTTTTATTTTTCCCTTTTCTAAATGCTAATTTCATATTACAGACATAGGAGGTATGTTAGTAAAAGCTAGACATGAATAAATACTTTCACTAATCATGTTATTAAAATATAAATTTAGATAACTGGAGAAGTAATTTCTATTCAAAATTTTTTAACTGCATGGACTGAGTGGGACTAGATTCATTAGGCAAGAATTTAGACCAAATCTGTATTTTGGCTACTGGTTAAAACCATGAGGGAAGTCATGGTATCTGGAAATTTTCAAAGCACTTACCCAAACTTACTCATCCACCTACAAATGTTTTCCTACCTTAATCTTGTCAGATTAGGCAACTTCTTGCCTACCTTTCTGACTTGTGAGGCTCAGACCACTCTGTTAGGGAGGATMTGCTGAAAAAACTGGCTGGAGATGGTTTTAATTAAAACAAACCACATGGAGTTGGCTTCCCAAAAGGATACAAAATCAAGTCCCGATTTATGAAATAATTTCCTGACCACCARGCTGAACCATGTTGTGAGACAGACTACCCATATCTGCATAAAGATTCATTTAATAGCTGTGGCTATTTCATTGTCACAAGTTTCTAGCCTAGTAGTTTGGTCACATTTGGACAGTGAGAAAGTTGCATTTGAATAATCATTTTTGGAAACATGTAAGTAATTTTATATTAGCATTAATTAGAAAGTGTCTGCAACACACTTCTCCCTTTCTCTGGGAGTACATGACAGATTCAGCACTTTTCTTTCTGTACTCTAATGAGTATCAGGAGACAGGTGGCTCCATATCCAGGTACATTGAGAAGGGGCTGGAGCCCAAATAAAACACAGTGAGGGCACAAGCATTAGTGAACGACTGCCACATGAACATTGTTATAACAGCAATATACTCGTGCCTGTCAAGTTTTCCCTGTTGATACTTCAAAAGACCTCAGCAGTTCTCCTGCATCTCAAAACAAATATCCATTAGTGTGGTCTTTTCAGAGAACGGTGGATTTATGAGAAGGTAYGTTTGTGAAGAGTTGAAATTATGTGTAAATTCAAACTGCATCCAACAAACAAGTTCAACTAGAAATGGTGAAAAACGTGTTGAAATACTGAAATATTCAGTATTTTAAAGGAATTTTTTTTCAAAAAATCAATCATAAAGTTTATGCTGTAATTTAATTTAACAACATTTTCTTTTTTATCATGAAAGTCTGATTGAAAACCAAGCTAAGTTGACAGGAAAGGAAATACAAAAGTACTAAGCAGGGACAGTATTCACATATATGAGAACTAAACCAAGCTCCTTAAGATTGAAATAAATATGTCTTAACTAATTCAAGATGAGATTCTTTTGTTTACTGTAATAAATCAGAAATCCTCAAAAAGTCAAATTATGACTCAACTGAACCTTTGCCTATGACACTTCACAACAAAATGCAGTATTAGACCAGATCCAGCATACATTCATGGGTTGATGAAAAGGCCAGACCACAGTGGGGAGGACAGACAGTCTTTGCTAATGATCTAATTCTCACAGCCACAGTATAAACCAGCACTTGGATTTATTTATTTCTTCTCAAAAAGAAAATCCTGAGTATACAGAGAACAGCAGAACTGGAAGAAAAGCATTTCCTTCTATTTTGTTCAGCTACTGTCAAATAGTTATGCTCAGGTGGTGTTTTCTTTTTAAAAATTATATATTTAGAACACAAAGCCATGAAATGTTTAATACCATTCTGAAAAACTGATTTGTACAGAGTTTAGTTACATTTATTATTTAACAAGCGAATGGCAAAACTTACTTTAAGTTCCTCAGAGCAATTCAGATATTAGCAGGCTTTATAGAGATAAGAATAACAGGATTACTAGGGATGCCAATGCTATACAGCAGAATTAAAAGCTACAATTAATATGGCTATTACTATCACTTTAGAACTATGCTAYAATCTATTATGCTTTCTTAGCAAGTTAATGAAATTCTTTGTCCCACACACAAAGGATCTGCAGTATAATAAAATTATTAATGAAAGTACTTAAACCTTTTAGAATAAAAAAGATCACTGGCAAAAAAAAAAAAAAAAAGTAAATGCAATTCACTTAACAATCATATTATTGTTTTGTAAACAATACAAATTTTTAAAAGGCTTATCACTTCATGCTGTACACAGATCTTATGAAAAATATCGGTGCATGTATTTCTCTGAACGTCTAAATCAGCTTTTAAAAACAAAGTTTTTAAAAATCCGCAATAGGAATGTAATTACAGCAACTAAAAGACACCAATGCTATTTCAGGAGTAACAAGTAAGGTATACAAGCTTTAAAAAATGTCTCATGCCAATAGATGTTGTTTTTCTCTTATTGTGGCTTAATATGGTTTCAGAATTCCCTTGSTTCTACAGCCAATGACTTTTTAAAGTGTAAAACATATCTGATTCTTCTTACCTTATGCTGAAGGACAGGTTGGTTTGTTAGGCGTTTCGGTTTTTTTACATACTAAAAATTAAGCAATAAGGCACAATGTGGAGGAGTGATTATCTGATGATAATCCCAGCATCCTGAAATTGCTTTATTGCAAATATAAACATATTTTAGATTGTTCACTGGATATTAAGGGCATTAGCATGCCCACAGAGTTTAATCTTCCCCTTCAGAATATTAAGTTTCATAAGGCTTTTTTTTTTTTGTCTAAGCTATTTTTTAATGTGCAAGACAGGACTTCATATACTCAAGAAATACGGTAATTGGCTGGTGCAYACTCCACTGGGGAGATTAATTTACAAGCACTGTACAGTTCTGCTAAAACTACTTCTCAACACTTCAAAATGTCAATAGTACATTTTCCCAGCCCTGTAAACACATTTTGATACACAATATAAACTTTAATGGTAGTTTTAAGACACCTCTGGGGGTATGGTTATTTAAGCAATAAGACACAGTAGGGTGTGAATTATGGTATAATAATTCCCTACCAACTGCATTGTTAGGCATGAGGCCAAAGGGCCAAGGGACCAATGAACACACTAGGTGTGAATTATGTCATCATAAGTCACACTCTGGAGTGTCTTACTGCCATTAGAGAAATATTTAAAACATGTTTTAATGCAAATGCTTTATTCGTATAGTACTGTATTTAATGGAATATCCTGAAAAATCTTTCCAAGTAAAATCTTTCCATTATGTAACATGGAATTGAAAACAAAATTGAAACAAACCAAAAAATTCTTTTGTCATATTTCACTGTGGTGACACATTTTAAAGAACAGCCCCAGAAAATATATGTCTTATCCAAGTTTGCAAAAAATAGCACAAAGGCCTTCTGCTCAGGGGGTTACAATCTGCTTTGCTCATTGTCTGTAGAATCAGATTGCCAGAATCAGGGGTGTACTGGCTTCGCCCATGGAACTGTAGTGATGAAATCTCTAGAAAATCTACATACCTTTTTTCCCCACACTTGTTCATACTGCTGTAATAGGGCACAATATGGACTTTGAGCGAGGAGCAAAAAGTTCCTTAAGATTCCATTTGAGCTCCTGCAGCTGAGGCTGCTCACAGCTTTTAGTAAGGACTGCAAGTAGGAGAATGATACTGTTTCCCATTTTAAACTCCATTTGACAAATGAATTTCTCCCCTCTGGGTACTCCCACATTCCAAGTGCAGCAATGACAACAGCATCATCCAGAGACACACAGGCTCACCTTACAAATGGCTCGGTGGCTGGGAGCAAGCTCRCTGCAGTAGCAGGGATTTTGGCACGATCGAAACTGGCCTCTCATTTAGTTTTTGCAGCTTGTCTTAAACTTCCAGGCTGCTGTGGATTGATTGCTACCCGTGGCCGAGCCAGCTAGCGAGCATTAGGGCCAGCAATATGAGAGAGCTTAGGAAAGGGCTGTTTGCCAGCCCGTTTGGGGAGTGATAAGCCCCAGGGCATGTCTGCACTTCTCAGAGCACCGAGGCGCCCAGCACTGCCTGGGTGCATCTTCTCGTGGTATGGATAGGGATGCTGTGCCATGTAGGGATAACAACCTGCACCCTGGAAGCAACAGAGCTGCAAGGTCAGGTTAATTAACTCTCCTGCACCCAGTGCTGGAGCTGCTTCATTTCACACTCACAGAGGGATCTCTGTGTGTCCCTGGTTATCTGAGCAAAAAAACAGAAACATCGGTTCTTGCAGGCACAGCCTCATTCTGACAGAACTGAGTTGTTTTCTGCATAACCTCACTCACAGGGGTTACCTGTCCCTCCTGGATAAAGTCATTATCTGTGACCATTAACATCAGTCAAAGGTAAGATTCTGGAGTCCAGAGTTCCTCATTCCCCGTGAAATAGAAATGGATAAACTTACACAGAGGACTTCTGTGAAGCTAACAGTGGTAACAAGGTAAAATTCTGAGCTCCCTTTGGAGTCTCCCCTTCTTTGTCCACTCAAAATGTCTCTTTTAAWCTGCAGCAAGAGGAGATGCTTAATTCTGCCTATGGCTTGATGATACTCAAGGGAACAATTTGAGTTTTGCTGCTTCCCTGTATAAACAAACAAACAAGCATGTGACTGCTTTTTGCTATTCAGCCTGCTGRAAACTTCTGTCAAACATGATGGAAAAACCTACACCTCTATGGATTTTTTCCTTTTCCAACAACTTCCAACCAAGAGTGAGCTCACCATTTTAGACCTAGCTTACATTTGAAAATATTTGTTTTATATCCACTTGTAAAACTGGAAACACTTTTTCCTGGCTCTCAGTAGGAATGGGATAAACAATCCCCAAGAAAAAGGTTTCACACTGACTCTACATACTCCAAGAACTTAAAATAAGTAGCCCCAGAAAAATACCTTTAGTGGCAAAGCAGTATTTCAAAGACTGCTGAGCAATAACTAACAAGTTCCCAGCAGCATGTTCTTCATAAATTAACATTACTGCTCAGAAGTCATGTACGCCAACTAGAATGCTGCAATTTCTGAAACCATTTCATTACATGAAATTTGAGGTATAAAGGCATCACTGTGCTACCACAATCAGGACATAATGCTTTGATATACCCATCTSTGCAAAGCCTTCTGGCTTGTAACAGTAAATCACAGACCTATTTTCATMCCTCATTACCATTATGTATCTTTCCACTGACACCTGACCTTACACATAATCAGGTAKGAATTTCAAACCACACTTATAATCTAAATGAGTGCCTCATTATTTTACATAACCCAGAACSAAGTAAGATTTGAGATGTAACTGGAAAATTCACAGGTCACACATCCAGAAATGCAGGTCTGTCAAAAAGAAGTAATGGTCTCTAATTCATTACTGTTACAGCACCAAATCACTCCTGCACACARGAGCATTGCAAGAATTTCAGGGTTGGATTTTAAAAAGGATATTGTCAGTTCTGAAAGAAATAACACAGTGTTGAAACTGTTTGGTATGTTGTTAAAGATAAARAAGAAAAATGCAAGTACTGAATTTATTACCTGTATTTTGAAGAAAGAACGACAGCACCAATTGCATGAAGTTATAAAACACCAGAAATAAACATGTAAATAATCTCCATGGAACACAGACATCTACAAAGAAATATATATATGTATACATGTAATATAATAAACCCATTCATTAGGGAACAAGAAACATCTTTTTGTACTGTATAAAACAGCTGTACAGTGTGCACACAGACTTTCCTGATCTCTCTAAAATGTCTGTCAGTCACTTCTCCCCATCATCCTTTGATGATCTCAACATAGTTTCTCCACTGTCCATGGGAGAACTCCAAGTGACTGTTTTGTACTTTTAAACGAAGTACTGATAGTGCAGTTTGTCTCCATATATATACACATGCATACATATATATACTCACCAGTTAACACATATATGTATCCATGTATATATATGAAAAGAACAAACACACACACGTACACACACAGACGACAGATCTAAACAGCTCCTCCATCCTGTGCTATCGAATTAGTGCTTATAAAAAATCCCTGCACGTTTTGTGAAGGGAAGAAACCTTGCTGATTGTGCAGATTGAAGTCATTAGATGGTTTTGCTCCTAACAGTCTGCAGACACACATCTGACTCATATGGTGGTATCCCATATGCCTGAAGAGAGTCTGTTGCAGGAGGTATCTTCTACCTTCTTCAGCAGCGTCGGCTTCTTACAAGGGGGTGGAGGTGGGGCTGAGATTCTTTGCTCAGTATTGTGCAATATTTGCTGCCAGTCTTCTCTCTCTTCACACAGCTTTCTCCTCCAATCYAGAAGCTCTTGCAGAGCCACACTCTCATTCTCGGAAAGTCTAAGCTGATGAATAACCTGTGAGAAGAAAATAATAATAAAAATAACAAYAATAATAAAGGTGGATAAAGAAAACAGATCAAATAACCTGTTAATAATTTGAARCAACCTTGTCCTCCAAAAGGATTTAAAATTCTTTACACTGAAAAAAAAAGAACATTAGTGATTTGGAATTGCGTTAGTGCGATCTCATGTCTGAAATTTAGAGTCTGAAGTTGTATGAAGCATCTGCCAAGACTGAAACAAATGGAAAAAATTCCTCTGTGTCATCAAAGRGTATATGAGCTGAAATTCCCTGAAACACACAAAACAGACTGCCTACAACTGCTGCAGGAGTAGCAAGGTTTTTCCTCTAAATGTAAATATTCAAGAAACCATAACCTTTGTTGCATATTAGAATCAGTAAAACTACTTGTCAGAGACAGGTGTTATCCTTAGAACCAGGGCCCAGTCCTCGTCTTCCTCCAGAGAATGCATTACAAACTTTAATTGTAGTTTCAATTAAAATGGCCTGAATCTATTTGTGAGTTAATTCTGAAGTAGCCACAGTTCTGTACTAGACTCATAACMCACCTAAAAGAAACTGTCCCCTTCCATTTAACTCTTCTGTTCCAGTGATTATTTATTTTGTTCCAGTCAGCTTGAAGCCCTCATGGCASCACAAGTCTGTGAAGCAATGGAGTCCATCTCACCATCCTTTAAGACTTACTTGACACCTCTGCAGCAGAGCAGCATCTACAGCAGGTGCTGAGATCTGTTGCCTTGGGAGCATTCTGGAGCAGGAGGGGCTTATCCAGAAAAAATGCAACAAGTCCATCATAAACATCTAACAGCCCACAACCCTTATCACRGACCTTCTTTCTTAAAAACCCCACAGGGCCACCTGTAAGAGGCACCTATGGCATGACTGAAATGCCCACACCTCACTCACACAATGGGCTGATGTTAAGGATGCATTTCTGCTGTGTGTTAGTCATGATACAGGAAATGATGTGCAGTGCCCCTAAATGCTCATCAGAAACCACACACATCATTAGCTCCAGCTGCAAGGAAAGCTGAGTGACATGAAGGGCATTTTTGTGTCTGATGGGCAATGGGGTTCCTGGGACAGAGGCCCACACAAGCTTTACACTGCTATTCCAAATGTGTCCTGTGCAAGTCAGACCTTTCAGATGCACATGCTGTCAGACAAGGAAGGAGCCCTTACATGGAGATGTCTGAATATCCACAGAGAATCTGCTTAATTTCTGGTGTGATGATACTTCAAAGAGAAATGCATTAATCTATAATATGTCTGAATAACAGGTATAATTTTAAGTACAGTTTAAAGTTCTGAATTTTTTTTTTTAAAGAAGGAAAATGAAAATGTTTGAAAGACTTCATTAAAGTATATCTCAATTGCATACCACTATAAAATTAAAAACCTATTTGCCTTCATATTTATACAAAATGCAACAGGGCATCTCAGCAACTCAAATAAAAATAAATGTTCTACAGGTACAGCTAGAGGGTTATCAGAGACAAAACACACGACCTTTTTTTTTCTTTTCAGTGGTGCATAAAAGATGAGAAAAAGAAAGTTTGCACTTGGAAACAACTTACAAGAAAGAGAGGTCAGGTGGCTTTTTCCTATAGAACAGCWGCATWGTTGGTGAGTCACCATGGCTTGCTCAGTCATGGCCAGTTTCTGCAAGTTTTTGTGAGTTTAAGTTATGAGCATAATTCAGTTTAGAAAACACATAGATTGGAATCCAGTCTTCCCATTTTGGACACCTTATCTGTACCTACATTTTAGACATTTCATGAACATRCACTAGGCATGCTTCTCAGAGAGGTGCTGAAATACACTAAGCTTTGTTYGACTGTCATTCCAAGAGTTTCATATGAAAGAGTTTCAGAGACAATTAATCAAAGACATGCCCAAACACTGGCAGATAAATATAGATAAAAAAATAGATATTTCGAAACTGTGTGAATGTGCACTGGTGACAAAAGTTTGATAGCACAACTAATGAAGTCTGGAAGAATTTTCAGATTGAGAGATGGAGGGAATATTTGAAAAGAGACTGCCACTGCTACTCCAAGGAACATAAAGGCACATAGATGCAGGGTGAAAAGTRAGCACRTTTTGCCTCTGCAAGGAATTGACARTTGCATCCTGCTYATGGCTTAGAAGAAGCTTTATTATACTGACCCTGCTWATGCAAGCTGTAAATTAATGCTGGATCAAGAGTTTCACTACAGAGCTCATTTTCCAGTGTATAGTGGACAAAAGTTGATCCAATTAAGTGTACATACTTTATCATACATTCTTAAACAGTGATGGAAAAATACCTCAAATTCATTATGGAACTGATATGGTAAACAAGCTGGAAAACAACCTGGATGAAGGACATGAGATGAAACTGCAGTTAAAATGAAATGGGGGAAAATGCRTAAGAAGTGGCAGAGCTCTAAATGAACCAATTAATTTAATTAGATCTATTTGAATAACATGATATCTTTTTTCTTTTCCATTTATGATTAGAACTGTGACAAGCTAAAGATCTATTATAAATATTCATTATAGAAAAGATTGGCTGAATAATTTTACATGAAGCACAATGTAAAACAGTAAGCCATGTYTCTTCATTATTATTCTATATTCTGATGGGTGAATGATGTGTGTAGGAATTAATTACTGTAAGACCACTGATTGTTTTAATGGACCCTAAACAAATAACTTCAACCAACTGTATCAGCGACAACAGCAGACCAGGATTTTCCTATTCAAAGTCAGTGGTCAATCAGACATGGTGAACATAGCACCAAACGTTTATTATTTGACCACCTGACATTTAACAGCTCTGCCATTTGGTGGAAACATCATCCCTGTGTTTGGTATCCAGAGTTCTTACTGAGCAAACAAGAAAAGCTGGTGTCAAAGACAGTAACACACAAAAAAAGAGCTTGTGGGGTAACCACAGCTCTTAACTGGAAACTGCAATGGATTGAAGGATTTAAACAAGATCCATATTTTCCTCTGAAAAATATGGCAAGCTGAACAAAATAARTTGAAAGCCCAGGAAGAAGCTTTCAGAATTCATTCTTTCCACTTCACAGCCCAAACTAAGGGTGTCAAAGCAAGWGCTCTCCTCCTGGCATCAGGGATTTTGGCTGGTGATAGAACACCAATAGCTCAGTTCCATCAAGACAAGCATGGAAAGACTTTCACCATTCTCTAGAAGYTAGAGCATATTGGGAAATTAGAARATSCAATTCAASTYCTCTGTGTTGGTCCTAGCTGAGATRAAGATAATTTTCTGTTTGCATTGGCACYGAGGAAGCAGCTGATAACACCCCAGTGTTTTCTGGCTGCTGCTGAACAGAGCAGGCACAGCCTCAGYGCTCTATCCAACATTCCTGGGGGTGGACAACATCTTGGGAGGGGACAGCTAGGACAACCCACCCAAACTGACTGATGACCAATGACCAAGATGTCCAGACCATGTGACCTCTGCACAGCGATCAAAAAAAGGGGGAAAGTTACATTATCTACAAAGTTTGCCTTCCAGAACACCCTCTACATGTGCTGAAGCCCTGCTTCCCAGGAAGCAGCCAGACATTGCTTGCTGATCAGAAATAGTGAATAAAATACTTTTCTTTTTCCTTTGCTGCTTCCATGTACACARCCTTCACTTYTGCTTTAGTAAACTGCCTGTATCTTGACCCATGATTTTTTCTCTCCCATCTTATTTTTCCCCCTGTCCTGTCSCAGAGGGGAGTGATRGAGCAGCTTGGTGGGCACTTGGTGTCCAGCAAGGGTCAACCCACCATAGTTCTTTCAGATTTAGGAAGAGACAAAGTTCCCACATGCTGAGAGGACACTACAGGTACAAGGAGTGGACTCTGAGTGCAGAACAGAGGGACTCCGACTCCTGTGCTTTGTGCTGAAGTAAATCCTYCAAGGAGAGTCCCTTGTGATTTTAGTGCACAAAAACCACTGGAGACAGAGCACTTTGGTTATATGCTGCCAGTTATGAAACGCTCAGAGCATGATTTTGCCCATACACATTTTATTATTGCACAGTCATTGGAGAATGAGGCCTGAGCTGCCTTCTGGATTTAGGCTTCTAAATTCTGTCTAGATTTCACTTTTCAGCCTAAAGCAGACAAGTTGGATTTCAACTTTCTCTTAGAATCAGTATGAGCTGCTATAAGGTAAGTCAATAAATTATTTTAATTACAGTCTATTTCACATGCAAGTTAAAAATTCAGCAAGTTTTTAATTATAGAAAGTAGAAGGTTTCATATTTAAATAATTTGTGACAAAAAAATATGCCAGATAAAATGATTAACTGGCCCATTTAAAATTAACTTTGAGTTATTTAGAGATTTGRCTCTAGAATTCATTCATTTGGCTCAGGAAATTCATTCTGCATTAAAAGATCAAATGTTGTAACTTTCCAGARGATGTTTTGTAACATTCAGAAGCAAAGAACTTGTATTCTCTGTGTATCAAATGCAAGAGAGTGTTAAYCATCAACCTATGACTAAAGGGCTCATTACCCAGTCTGACAGTGATTTATTATTGGTAGATTCTTTTCAGTATTTCACCTCAATTTGTTMCCTCACTGACCAAATTTAGGGTTTACCTTTCCAAAAATACATRTATACTACTCTAGTAATGTTTTTATTTGAGTGCATTGTTTTTCACTAATATTCACCAGAAATGAAGTATTTAATTACATATTACATTTACATATTATTTAAAACATGCAAATAATTTTGTTTGCACAAAATGTAGCTCTTCGTGTTTTATTACAGGTCTGGTTTCAGTTAATTCTTTAAGTTTTGGTAAAATTCCTGCCTATAGACATATAACCACGACAGAAAACATCACAGCACAACTTACGAACATGCAAGGCATATAAACCTGTGATCCTGAGATATTTGCATTTTGTAGCTAGTTCCTATTTTTTGTTTGCAGAAATAATGTCAATTGTTGAAGTTTTTCAACAGGTTTATCAGTGCTGGTG